CGCCTCAGTTCCGCTGCCGCCGTCGCCCGGTCCCCGGGGACTCCGCTCCGGCAGCCGCAGCGCCCCGGGCTCCACACCCCCGGCCCCGGCCCCGGCTCCGGGGGTGGGGATGGGGCGCAACTGCTCTGGCCCACCTGGGGCTCGAGCCAGGCTCCCGGGCAGCACCCTGCGGCGCCCACGCGGGCTTTGCGGTGGGGAAGTCGGTTCCGCTCTGTGGGGCTTGCGGGGATCCCGCGGGCCACCCCGGCCCACGGCTCCGGACAGCCCGTGGCTCGCTTCTGCAGCCGCAGTTTTGTTGTGCAACCTCCTTTGAAAACCACCATTTCAAACCGTGTACCCTGGCAAGGCAAGGAGGAAGGAAGTCAGTGATGATGAAACAGTCCTCGCTTGTCTTAGGCAGCTAAATTGCCTCCGCCAAACAAAGAAAAAGGAAGAGATGGCTCAAAGGCATTCCCTTACCACACCAAAGAGCACATTTGCAGTAGAGCATGTCATACAGAAAACTCTGGCAAGCTCATAAACACCATCCTTCAGACATGTGCAGGGGAGTGTAATGGGACTATTTACCCCGTGTTGGTCAAATTACTTACAAGCGTAGGTGCTTCCAACATTGGGCCCGAAACTAGTTTCGGAGAACATAAATTAACTTTTTAAAAATGTTCATAGATTTCATAGACATTGGGGCTGGAAGGGACCTTTTCAAAATGTTTCTTACACAGTTTCATATGTCAGTTATGTTTTCTTTGAACCCCCAGAGACCTGTCATGACCAGGGTGAATTTGATGAGAAGCTCTCAGTCCTTCAGAAATGGATTGTATGGCCAAGACAGCATATTGCCGCTTGTCTTCTTATGGAGGTTACCGGGGCAAGGCCCCAGCGTCATTCCCTGTTCTAAGAAATTATGTGATAGTTGGACATTTTGTCAAAGGAATTCAGGTGTGGCTGGTTCCAGAGGCTCTGGAAAGCCTGAGCTATGGGACTTTGATGAGCAATGACCCATTTTCCGTTCTTGAGCATGCGTGGCATGCCCATGTTTTGGCTGGGAAAGCATGTGAGGGGAAGGTAAGCATTCTGAGTGAGTGACAGGTAGGGTGCTGGATGCGATGGTGGAGTAGCATGTGCATGTGCGTGACTGGTTAAAGTGAGAGTGATGTTTGTTGCTGCCATATCAAAACTAAGGCTGTGCAAAGCTTCACAGGTTGTTTCATTTTGATGCTGTTTCAACTCATTTCAAGCTCAAAACAGCAAAACTGAAACAAAACGAAGGGCTTCAAAACAGCCTC